GACAGACACTTCATCCTGTTACGACGAGAGCCGAGACGTCAGCTCCTCAGGCTTGCGTGCACACTCACGTGCGTGACAGAAACGAGCACATACCTCGTGTCACCTTGTGTTATTTTGATCTAACGTTGCTGAAGGATGCAGACGACCTCCCTGCAGGAGCTTTGACAGCTCAGCACATGAAGATGCAGGTAGACGAGCGTTACAGTGGCGTCCAGGCTCTTCCAGTGGAGACCCTCCTCATTTAACCTTTTGCTCTATAAGCAGAACAAAATAACTGGACAGAAAGCACTCGGTTCACAAAAGGGCTTCGTGGGTTAGTCCTAGCAGAGCAGGGGTGTCCAACTCCAGGCCTCGAGGGCCGGTGTCCTGCAGGCTTTAGATCTCACCCTGGGTCAGCACACCTGAATCACATGATTAGTTCATTAACAGGCCTCTGGAGAACTTCAGGACATGTTGAGGAGGTCGTTTAGCCGTTTAAATCAGCTGTGATGGATCAAGGACACGTCCAAACCTGCAGGACACCGGCCCTCGAGGCCTGCAGTTGGACACCCGTGTAGTGGAGGGTCAGGCAGGTAAGAAGGAAGAGTTAAGTTGTTGTAACACAATGAAACACAGCAGCAGGTCTAAAAGCCTCTCGTGCTCAGAGTGTTTCCTAAAGCAAAAAACTGGATATGGGGAATTTTCCTTCCAGTAGTTCTTCTAAGAGCCAAAACAAAGAGTCGTTTCTCAAATTCAAAAATTCTGACTCAGTGGTGTTGTGTGCCTTGGACCCTGCAGTGTGTGGTCGCTGTTATGTTTTGTAATGTTTGAGGGTGACCTGGCAGCACAGAGCGGGAGAAAGCCTGAGCATACACCCACTTCCTATAAAACACCTACACTGGCAGTTTGCATTCCCAGGTGCACCGAAGGAAGGAGAGAGCAGGCCTGCAGGTGCTCACAGAGGTGGGAACTGTTCCCTCTGGAGGAGGCTGCTGGTGGGGGGGGACGCTGGAAGGGACACACACAGGCAAACTGACACTGCTTTCAGACGTGCTCTCCTTTCCATGAAGCTGATGTCATCTGAACACGAGAATCACAATAACTTTATTTGTACAGTAAAGTCACCTTCATGTCTCAAAGGTAACCGGGGACCTTAAACCACTGACTCCATCAGGCTGTGTGGAAGATGGATGTCATAAACCTGTGATGAACCCCACTGCAGACGGATGAAGCGTGATGTGTATCCTGTGCTGAGGTAAAGATCCCGATTATGTCGTATCCTCCAAGCCTCTCCTTCACACCTGGGCTCCTTGTCTGCTCGCAGACACCCGGCCCTCCCCGGGTCCGTGTCGGTCCCGACCGTACAGAGCAAACACACAGAAGCCTCGCCGTGCGCCCGACTGGGTCCCTCTCAAAGACTGAAGACGGTGCAGCGGGCAAATCAGTTGTGCATGCAACTAGAAGACTTGCATACTCTGTTTATTTAAGTGTGTGTGAGTTTGTGCCAGTGTGGCTGTGTGCATAATCCACACAGTGAGCCAATGCAAGCAGAGTTAAGAGTCAAAGCCCTTCACAGTTTCCTGTTTCTTGTTAAGCGCTCGTACAAACATGCAGTTTTTTCAAATGGGAAGAAAAAACGTCCTGTTCTTCCCTCGTATGTTTCTAAGGCTTCCTGATTCTGACATTAATAAACATGTAGAGAAAAATACCCAAAGAACAAACATCACAAACGATAAACATAATGTGGAGAAACTTGCTGACAGAAAATAAAAACGAGGCTCAGTTTGGGTTGAAATGAGATTGTAAAGCTTAAAAAAAGCTCTAAAAGAGTCACACAGGTTTCTTTTTCCTTCGAGATATTTTTGTCCTTCACGTACCGCGAGTCTAAAAACACTGGGCTGTTTTCTGCCTCACACTCAGTCCTGTCTGCTTGTCCTCAAAGACACTTTGTTAGTCTGTTGGTGTCTGAAGGGGTCTGAGAGCACAGAGACAAGACGGGGTCCTGTCCTCCAATAAGAGGCCTTTGCAAAGTATCTCTGTGTAAAAGGTGAATTCAGAGAGTCTCTGTGTGGAGCAGGAAGCCCTGCCCTGAGCAGGAGTCACACTCTGTGGGTGCTCTCAGGGGAAAAGCCTGCCCGGCTCCTGACTGTATTTCCCTTTTTTATTGGCCTGCTGCTTTGCTGCTGCCACAGCTTGTCACACAGTGTTGCTGTGGAAAAATGTAAATAGCCTCAGTAACTCCAGGAGGTGTGCCCTTCTGATAGTCTATTTTCTTGGATTGTCTTGCCCACACGAATGATGCACAGAGACGCAGAGGAACAAAACATTAGTGGGTTGATTATGTGAATGATCTCCATAATACGCAGCTTTACCTTCTGTAAACGTGCTGTCGGTAATCCGGTTTGCTGCTCAGAGAAAAGGGAGGCTGACAGTGGCGCTGTCACAGGCTGAGATCGAGTGACAGATTGGAGGAAGAGCCTCTGCCTTTGGTTGGACCGTTCGTTTTAACATCAGAGTTACACAGTAATCACAGTCACCGCAGAGAGAAGTCACGCGTGTAATTATGAGATTAAAGGATGCTTACCTGTTTGCAGCAAGCCGATCCTGCTGTCTGATACGTCGTAATTCCGCTGAATGTCGAGCACAACGCCTGCAAAAGAAACACATGAATGTGGTTTGGAGGTACAACAAGAGTCCTGATCACAGGTCCTGAAACGCTGAGCTGAGACTTACAGACAGATTCATTCTGGATTTAC